CTGTTATGATATGTATCGTATCGTCAAATTCTTGCCAATACACAGCCCTACTATCTAGGAGGCACAGTTTATGTAGATAGTATTTATTTTTTACATTTATAACAACAACTAACAAGCTGGAATAAAAACAAGCAAAATGAAATAAAAGTAACAACTTTCTCTTGTCCTTTTTTTTTAATGTAAGAAGTAGAAGGAAAAAGTAGGCTGAAAAATAATTACTCAAGTAAAGTACAGATACCCAAAAATTCTACTTCAGTACAGTAAACTCAGTGCATCACACGTTTTGTAAAACTGATATTAGGAATGTTGCACCTTCACTTGCCTCCATTCTACAAAAAGGAAACAGACAACTTTGTGTCCTCTGTTTGTCGCTCAAGTAAAAGTTGGAAAAATTTCATTCTTCATTTTTTCCTATTTCTGGATTCGTCCAATGAAAAGGTCTTAAGGAAGACTGAGAATCGGCAGTCAGTGGGTTATTAGAGAACATTTACTTTATGCATTGTTCGATGACTTGATAGCTTATTTGTTCCTACATTATTGCTCTTCAGGTCCTTGTGTTCAAAATAAAAATAATGTAAAAATCTATTTCACCAGACTCCAAAAAGCTAATGTTACAGCAGAGTCAGGTTCTGTGCCATCAATTTAATGTAATGCCAGCTTGGTGCAGAATATTCAATCGGCTCCTACAACATTTGAACTCACAGCATTAGTTACATCACAACTACAACAATTTTTTTTCCTTATTTGAGAAAAAATCAAGAACAATGTAAAAAACAACATGCTTTTTCCATTTTATTAACTGCGGTTTGGTTCAAGATCTTTAAAAAATAGTTATTTACTCAATCACTGCCTCAGATTGTAGGTATTTTATTTCACCAACTCAACTAACATGAAAGTAAGAGCAAGAGAAGTGTGCTTGTTCTTGTTTTCAGCAGCAGTTACCTCATGTAGGCAATAAACTTGTCATCTGATAACAGGAAATCACTTTGGTAAAACACTGTTCTTAGTAAAAGAGTAGGTTTTTCATGCTAACGTCTTTTGAACGTCAACCCTGTAGTTGACTGATCCAAAGTGGTCTAGGCTGGTTGACGTGGTGAGTAATGGTTGTGTGTGTGTCAGAAAAGATGAAAAGGGCTGACAGCTGGTCAAGAGCTTGGTGAAACTTAAATTGCCAACTCCCCCATCCTTTATTGATTACGCAAAAAAATCAATACTGTAATTTTGAGCTCTTCTTTACACTTCTCTAGTTTCTTGTTAAGAGACTTCTTAACATAAAAGAGGTGTTACATATTAATTTCACACTGTAGGTTGTTTTTGTTAGTTAATATATTATAAACAATATTCATACTCATCTGATTAAATAAAAAAATACATCAGTAGACCATTGTAATACAATGTAATACAATACAGCTCTG